TAGATAGATAGATAGATAGATAGATAGATAGATAGATAGATAGATAGATATGAACAGACTGAGATAGATAGTTTGATAGATAGATAAAGAACAAACTGAAGTAGATAGATAGATAGATAGATAGATAGATATGAACAGACTGAGATAGATAGATAGATAGATAGATAGATAGATAGATAGATAGATAAAGAACAAACAGAAACAGATAGATAGATAGATAGATAGATAAAGAACAAACAGAAACAGATAGATAGATAGATAGATAGATAGATAGATAGATAGATAGATATGAACAGACAGAGATAGATAGATAGATAGATAGATAGATAGATAGATACATAGATAGATAGATATGAACAGACTGAGATAGATAGATAGATAGATAGATAGATAGATCGATGCCGTTGTTTCTCTTGATCCCTGATTCTCAAACTGTGTGCCGCGGCAGACTTGTGTGCCGCGCAATTCTCTTAAGTGTACATACTTATATAATAGCTGACCACTCGTATTCGAGGACACCCATCTACAAGGGCGGTTAGCCAATCTCTATCGCAGACTCTCGCACAGGCACATTTGTGTTTTCTCAACACCCACTATGCTGAGTAGAACTTAGTTAGAGTCTAGAATGATCAACAATCTGAACAACACCAATACACTCACACCCTCGGTCACGATGACTTGTGACTTCGTGCTGACACATCTATCGACGGCCACAAGTGTTCCGTCTACCCAATTTCATTCACAAGGTTTGGGTCAACCCGTGGTATTGGTTTTCCGTCATTTTCCAAAGGTGCCGCACGCTGGGATCGTACCCCTTCAAACCGATAACATCAGGATGTTTCCTTCCTGACAAATCGACCATGGTGAGATTCGAACCCGAATGTCATAAACGAACGTTCTAACCACTCGTCCACGCGCTCATACATATATATATATATATATATATATATATAAAATAAAAATAGCTATCATTACTTTCCCAGACCAAAATTATTAATTAAAAGATCCGAGCTCATCTCAAAATGCAGACATGAAAACAAATTTTTACTACGTTACTTAAAAATCGAAAACAGAAAAAATAAAATAAAATAAAAATAAATAAATGAATAAACAAAATGACAATAAAATAAGCAAAATAATTTAACCCAAACAAATTACCAAATCACACCTGTTAGAATAGACAAAATAGAAAAAAAAATCAGAAAAAAAATCGATGAATCCAAATAAATAAAGTAAATAATAAACAAATTAGCAAACCATGATGACCAAAATATAAGTTAGACTATAAAAATCAAACCAAAAATCGGACGAAAAAAAATAGCTATAACTGTTATATAACGATAAAAAAATACTACGTCACTTAAAAATCGAAAACCGAAAAGAGAAAATATGCAGTATAACAAATAAATAATAACAAGTAAAATAAAATGACCTAAACTCATCCAAATAAATAAATAAACTAACAAACTGATCCCGATAAACTAACCGTTAGAAAAAAACATATAAGCATAATCAATCCAAATAAATACATGAAGTAATAAACAAATTAAAAACTGTTCCCGCCAAAATAATAGTTAGAATAAACTACAATAATTAACCACAAAATTGAATAAATAGCTTTAATTATCTTCCCAAACCAAAACAAAACTATTAAATAAGCGATATAAACAAATTTTTACTACGTTAATAAAAACACCAATTAAAATAAAAATAAATATATAAAATAAAATATAAAAATAAAAAATAAAAAAAAATAAAAACAAGCAAAATAATTTAATCCAAACAAATAAATAAACAAGTAAACGACTTCCGGTAAAATAACCGCCAAAATAGACTACCCACAATGCACCACTGACCCGTATATATATATAAATAGCCGAGACGATTGCATCTAGCATGAAACAGACTGTCGCCTCTAAGTGTTGACTTCTATGTTCACTTTTTATATATATATATATATATATATATATATATATATATATATATATATATATATACGGGAGTATTGATGGTATAGCGTCAATATTTGAATGAGCATTAAACTTTTTTTCAAATATTTTTTCACTATTCTTCGATTATGTTATTTTAAATACAGTGGAACCTCGACTTACGAATTTGATCCGTTCCAGAAGTGGATTCGTAACTGGAAATTTTGTAAGTCGAAACAATTTTCCCCTTTTAAAATAAAAGAAATTAAACTAATTCGTTCCATGCCCCCAAAATATTGATATAAAAATCCATGAAAATCGTATTTTATGCAAAATTAAAGTACACTATTTATATTGTTCGAATTATCATCCTCATCATTGTTGCCATATTTATCACAACGTTTCGGCCGTTGTACGCTCCGGCCTTCTTCAGGTATTTGGAATGTCAAACTGAACCCTTTATTTCGCTCGCTGGGGTACACTGTCCTAGTTCCACGTACCATGTCTAATGGATGTCAGTTATCAGTTACCTCCTGTTAATTCCCCTCGTTTTGGTCCTAACGCCTTTATACGCTGTGCCGTGTGTACGTAATAACCCATCTCAGAAATATAGACAGACAAAATTAAGTAGTTTTCTTAAAGATTATACACAATTAATGTATATAAATATATTACTGTGACTCCTTCAATGAGATTTGAGCAATTTAGGATAATAAAGTGATACTTGCAAAATTCCTTTAGGGTTAGGTTTGTATTTTCGATCACTTCAAAACACCTGTGAAATAAGGCAGCTTTATCAGAGCTTGTAGCTTCTCCATGTCTCACTACACTGTGGATGGCAGCTCTCGTTTTATATTTTTCAAATTATCCTCGGCTTGCCTTAAATGCCTTTTCATCTTCAGAAAACGTGCCATTTATTTTTCTGATAAGATCCACGTACAGTAGCCTTATCTTTGCACATGTAAGATCTCAAGACGCAGAATCACCTCGTAGCTGCCTCTCATTCATCCACACCAATAACAGCTTCTTAAAATCTAGGGATTTGAGACGATAATTATGCTAACTCCTTTGGCTTACATCAAGCTTATTTATTTTCTGTCTTGTTCTTTAGGATAGTTCAAATGTTTGATGCCGGATGTCCGTATAGATTGGCACGGTCAGAAAAACGGGTATCTTCTACGTGCTTCTGATTGATCTTCATTTGTACGGATATTTTTCCATCTTATTAGCAACCAGCTTCTTGGATGACATCGTGGGCTACAAAAATTATCAAAAAATTACCCACTAAAATTTAAAATTTATTGTACACTAGCAGTAGAGCCCGGCATTGCCCTGGGATGTAACAGTAAGAGATAGATCAAGTATCGACCATCATAAAGACTGAAAAAAATAAAATTGACAAAGATTATTGTTTAAGGTTGACGGACACGCATGTCTTAATTAGTTTCATTTTTTTTTTTTTTTTTTGTTGTTTTTTTACGAATTGGTCAAATCCAAACTCAAACAAAAACATTGTTTTCAATCGTTATGAGTCTACCGATTGAATAGAATTTTATTATAAACAATTGTCTTGTAAATGGAATTTTTAAAGCATTCTGAATATAAAAATAAAGGAAAAGTGTGCAAGACAATAAGAAACACTACCTGCCAAAAAAAAGTTTTGTTGAAATCGGTTGAAAAATGTAGGAAATCCGATCCCATATATAAACGAACACACACACACACAGACACACACACACACACACAACCAACCAACCTGGGTTTTATAATAAATATAACTCGATATGAGTTGTCCCCCTTTCATTTTCGTGATGCCTCTTAATCGTGTTTTCAAATTGATTTCGTGCAAAAGCAATTGTATTTTTCCAATTTTGGGTGCTGTCAGAATCACCGCGAAGTAATTTTATGTAGTCCTGTGAAGTTTTGTTGAAATCGGTTGAAAAATGTAGGAAATCCGATCCAATATATAAACGCACACACACACACACACACACACACACACACACACACACACACACACACAATCTGCGTTTTATAATAAGTAAGATATACAGTAATATTTACGGTAACACATTAAACTGTACAGTACAGTAACTGTATGATAAAATGAAAAGTGACAAATTGCAGTGATGAAATGTACCGTACAAAACAGATTCAACTGGATGCGTAATTTATTTTACTGTGCAGTTTACATGCTGCAACTGCATTTTATTTTACTCTAATTAAACTTTATATTATGTTTTTACATTTTTCTACTGTACTGTGTTGATATCAATTTAAAATTCAATGATTAAACACTGTATATTAAACTAAAAACACATTGCATTACATAATGGAACCGTCTAGAAATACAGTACTCTATATAAAATATATTATAATATTGTACACTGTAGATAAAAATATAAGAATAAAAATACAGTATAAAATATATATACAAATATTTAATAGAGTACAGTATAAAAATACAATATAAAAACTATTTTAATACTGTATAATACAACAGCATTATATTATTAGATATAAAGTATAAATAATATATAAAACACAAAAAATATAAAATACAGTATATTTAGATAAGATTAAATATTTACGATACATTTATATCAAATATCAACTTTGAAAGGCAGTGGCGGGAAACACATTACTATTTCCATAAGTCGAAATTAATTCGTAAATGGAAACTAATTATCTGACAAATTGTTGTTCTTATGTCGAGTTTTTTCGTAAGTGGATGTGTTCGTAAGTCGAGTTTCCACTGTACCTTGTTTTAATATTCATTTTTTAAAAAAGTATTTTTACTTGTTTTTAATTTAATTTTTAAGAATGTGCCTTTATTTGAATAAATGAATATTAAATTTTTTTTCATATAATTGTATTTAACATTCTTTATTTAATTCAAAAACTGTTTAATTTCATAACATTTAAATAAAGACCCTTTAAAATTTTTGATTAGTCTGTCTTGATATTTTCATTTGAACCTAGATGTGCTGTGGCTTGAAAAAGTTGAGAAACACTAGCTAGCTAGCTAGATGGATGGATGGATGAGGTTTGGTACTATCCGCAGTTTCAAGCATGCGGTATGTATCTAGGAACAAATCCCCCGCGTATAAGGAAGAACTACTTTACTCCATAAATACTGTGTGAATATTATACTCGCTTCAGGGTGTTTAACAGCTGTTTTGCATAATTCCGCTCCATTGATAGACGTGGGGTAACATCCTTCAGATCTACACTGGCTTCCCTCGTGTGCAAATCCCTAAACAAAACACGAATATTCGAAAAACATTATATGAATTTTTATATTAAAATTTTGAGCAGTGCTCAAGTTGTTTAATTTTTGAACAAGAAGTGGCACTCAAGTTGTGGAATAGCTACTTAAATTTCTTCTTCTTCTTCTTCTTCTTTCTTTCTTTCTTTCTTTCTTTCTTCTTCGTCTTCCTCTTCTTCTCCGTTTCCGTCACCCTCTTCTTCTCCCTCGTCTTCTTACTGTTTTTCTCCTCCTCCTTTTTCCTTTCTTTCTTTTTCTTTTTCTTCTTCCTCTTCCTTTTCTTCTTCTTCTTCTTCTTCTTCTTCGTCATCCTCTCCTTCTTCGTCATCCTCTCCTTCTTCGTCTTCCTCTTCTTCTTCGTCTCCGTCATCCTCTTCTTCTCGCTCGTTTTCTTACTGTTTTTCTCCTCCTCCTTTTTCCTTTCTTTCTTTCTTCTTCTTTTTCTTCTTCCTCTTCTTCTTCTTCTTCTTCTCTGTCATCCTCTCCTTCTTTTTCCTTTCATTCTTTCTTTTTCTTTTTCTTCTTCCTCTTCCTCTTTTTCTTCTCGCTCGTCTTCTTACTGTTTTTCTCCTCCTCCTTCTTCCTTCCTTTCTTTCTTCTTCTTCTTCTTCTTCTTCTTCTTCTTCTTCTCCACCTCCTCCTCTTTTTTTCTTCTTCGTGCTGTGTCCCCCCAGGACGTGAGCGATCACGGCTCTCTAGAATTTCCTGTTCTTTGTCGCTAAATTTAGCTGTTACAAATTCCAAAGCTTCAATGTGTATCACGCACGAGATGTTCCTCTAAAGAATTAGTCGCCCAAAGTTAGTGGTGAGCATCATACACCACCCAAACTTTGGGCTACAAAATCCTGTAAAGAAAATATCTGGCGTATAATACGCACTCATGCGTATTATATGCAGGTCATTCGTGAGCTTAGGCTAGTTTATAGACAAAATAGGATTTAGAAAGTAGCTATCAGTGCTTTTTAAAAAAAGTCAGAAATTCCTTGTCTTTTCCTGGACACGAACACTGACGCAAGATCCACAGTTGTAAGTTCTCTCACGAAACCCGTAAACCATTGTAAGCGTCATTACAGCAGTGGTATGTCTAGGGAAAAATTAATTCTCAGCATCCTTCTGTAGAACCTCATTTCTGTTGTTCTTTTGAATTCAGATTTCTCTCTTCTAAATTGGTTGCCACCTCAAGGCAACTAGCCGAATCTGCCTTAGCTGGGGAGAAGAGCTGGATATATATATATATATTATTAGGTTGGTGCAAAAATAATGACGTAATAATGTCGTTTTGACCTTAAAATACGTCAAAAAACGACATTATTACGTCATTATTTTTGCACCAACCCAATATATATATATATATATATATATATATGGGGTGAAAAGTGTATATAAATATAAATAAATATATATATGTATAATTATTTATATATTATATGCGCGGTACTTATTAGAAAGCGCTCAATATCAGAGATAGAGCTAACATATTAGAGTTTGTCTGACGATCTCTAAAGCGTGAAACCCAGGGTCACAAACTCACTTCTATCCAACCAAAATATATATATATATATATATATATATATATATATATATATATATATATATATATATATATAGGTAACTATACTCGTTTCGAAAAACCTTCGAATTTTTGATTTGCCAATAATTAAATCAATCTCGAAGGAAAAAAAGGTTTTAAAAAAAGAAAGAGCTAGAAACATGAAAGTCTGTCGAATATAATCGTACAGATACAGGTTTAAAGCCCAAAGAAAAAAACCCGACACGAGTCAACAACTAACAAAAGAGCTCAATAAAAACGTAGAGCAGACCTACGTTTGTCTATCTAGGTTTATCTATCTATCTATCTATCTATCTATATATATATATATATATATATATATATATTTAGCAAGGGTATATAAAAAATAATCTAACGAAGTAGTCCCGAATTCGAACTCTTATTCTTTATGTACCGTATCCCCTTAGGACTTAGGTGATCATGGCCCTCCACAATTTCCTTTTCCTTGTAGCTCTTAATAAACATTGTCTTTTTGTTATTTCTCTAAAACCCTGTCCGCCATCGATTTACTCAAGCTCACTAAGTAGGTTATGTGTTGTTTTCCTAAGTCCCTCTTACCTTCAATCTGCCCTGTTCGTATCAGATTCACCAAACCCTTTTTCCTCATTACGTGTCCTAGAAATTTCTGCCGTCTCTTCCTGATGTTAAATATAAGTTTCCTTTTTGTTTTCCATTTCTGTTGCTTCAAGTCTCATCTCTATCCTTGAGGAGATTGCCCAGCATTCACTGCCATA